GTTATACATTTTTATTAAAAATAATTGAAAAAACGTCGAACTTGTGGGTTGCACAGTATGACTACAATGAAGCAGAAATGTAGTCAAAATAGAAATATGATTATAAGAATGAATATATTAGAATATATCAGGTATATATTCTAATTATTTCAACCGTTATACCCATTCTTATTTTTATAGTAATAAAAAAAAAAAGAACAAAAACAAAATAAATTAAATAGATGAAAAAAAAAAACTTCAATACGAAATTTCTTGGAATTGTTTTGCTTTTCATAATTCAGTTAAAGATAAGAGGGAAAATAAATATACCTAAATTAGCTGATGTTGAGGGAATGACGCAGAGATTGATTGGCAGCCTGTAAACAAGAAATAGTGATAATGAGATAAAAAGTAAACTAATTATGTGCACTATGCATAAAAAGAAATCAAAGAAAGCCGCCAAAGCAGAAATAATAATAAAAAATATAATTATAATAAAACGTGCAAGGCTATGTCAGGAAACAGACAATTGAGTCCGAGTCTTAAGACTCGCAAAAAGGGAAATATATGAAGAGGCAAATCAAAGTGAGAAGCAGGAAAATATGTGCAACTAGGTCAAGCGACGGCAAGAGGCAACAATAAAATTAAGAATGAAAAACTGAAATATATTAAATTTACCTACTTTGTATTACTTCTGTTATTAACAAAACTGGGTTTAACTGATGAAAGTTATAGTTTGGTTCGGACCTTGGCTAGCATTTTGCAAATCACTTCATACTGAAACAAAACTAAAGCTAAAAACTAAAACTGGAAACTAAAGTGAAAACTAAAATATAAAACATAAACTAGCATTTAATACTCGAAAAACTAAAACTTTTGCATTTAAATTGAGATTGAAAGCAATGTCTGTATGGCTACCTAAGAGAGGGCGGGACTAGGGAGTGGAGCAGGAGGCGAGGCTAAGCATTAGTTTAACGAGCTGTGCAGAAACAGGTGCGACAGAGTAAGGCAGCAGGGAATGATAATGAGTTTAGTCCGAAAAGCGATGTAGGACAGTGTAATTGACAAATGTCTTGCGTCTTGCATTGACAGCATCAAAGGCACAAATCCTGGCCAATCGTGAACTGTTCATCCAAAGCGGCAGCGACATCAATCTGACATGCATTGCGCCCCAGGCGCCAGGACCCTACACGCACATGCTCTGGTACAAGGACACGGAACTTGTTAGCGACTCGACGCGCGGCGGCATACGCGTCATCTCCGAGCAGCAAATAAAGACGAGCAATCTGGTCATATCGCGCGTACTTCACACGGATTCCGGCAATTACACATGCTCCGCGGATAACTCAAGTGAGTGCCCGATGACCCAACATATCCAGCACACACCCACTTAGACACACAGACACACACGCACACATATACGCTAACATATTACCCACCACGCCCCCTTTCTCGTTTGCAGACAGCGACAGCGTCTTTGTGCATATCATTAAGAGCGAGCAGCACGCGGCCATGCAGCACGAGCTGGGCGTCAGACTGGTGGCCGGGCAGAGCCTGTGGCTGCTGCTCGGAATGGTACTGCTGCTGCAGCATATGCCACGCCCCATACTTCAGCTGCAGCACCAGCTCCTGCTAGCTGCCGCCTAAGTAGTCTCAGAAGTCGCAGCTTATGTTTGATGTCTGCTTTGGTGTTGCCCTTTGGACGGTCGGCTGGATGGACGGGGGGAGGGTGAGTTTGCGCTGCGGTTGCTCTAAAGGGACATTGCAATTGATTTTATTACTCAATTTACAGCTCTGGCAGGAAGGATGCCCACATGCCCACATGCCCACGCCGTCCACACCGCCCACACCGCCCACGGCGCTGCGCTGTACATAGAAGAGAGGCACACCTGTGTATATAGTGTAAATCGTATTTGGGTTTTTTCCGTTTAGGCAGCTTTAAGTATTTTTATACGTAATTAAGTCACTAATAATCGATAGGTCGATTCGTCGATTAATTCATTCAATCGTGCAATCGACTAGCCCATAAGCCATAATAGAAACAGAAACGAAAATGCAACCATAAAATCGAATAAATGTAAATAAATGTTTAATCTTAATTAACAAATGACAAAAGCCATGTTGAACTGTCGCTTTGAAGGTGTGCTCAACCCCTGCTGACCCACACACACACACACACACACACACACACACACACACACACACACACACACACACAGACACACACACACACACACACACACACATTATGATTAATTATGCCAGCGTGAGTGTAAAATTAAATTTAAATAGGCAAAGAAAAAAAAACAAATGATGAATTGCAATATGAATGTGTATTTACAGCGAGAGTTAGGCCCGCCTTTTCCAAGCCATTGCGCAACGTTTACGACTCTGATTTCCCGCCGTAGATGCGACCCCGGGCAATAACCAAGATTATGTGACTTAATTGCACTGAGTTGCGCAACGGGCGGGCGGAGCTGAGGGGGGCTGGCATGCTTCGTTATTTCGGTAATTGAAAAACGATAAAGGCCTTCGCGCACCTGTACACATCCTACACATAAATACCAGCATGTGTATGTGTGTGCTCGGACAAATGTACAGACAAACCTGCAAATTGAGCGCGGCCGATGCCTGCGGCGCAGCTTTGCCAGCCAACACTCAGCAACAACTCGGCAATTGATAAACGAGAAAACTCAGTAGCCCAAAGCAAACAACAACGAAAACACATTTCAAAAATAATATGTATGTACGTGCATATATTTATTTGCGCTGCCTTCAATGTGACATATTTATTTCACGCCGTTAAAGGATTCGTTGTCACCCACGCAAATAGTAATAAATATGTTGGCTGAACACGCAAATAATGAGCAGAGATAGTTAATTTTTAAAAATATTGATTTAAAGCTGAAAAGTTATTTAAGCTGTGCAAATATTAATATAAATATACAATATATATGTATATAAATTTGTGGCAATCGTAGAGGAGAGAGGACGAGAGAGAGAGACAGATTTTACTTTTGCAATTTTCATAAAAGTTCAATGTATGTTTTATTTATTTATTTTATTTATTTATATGTGTTTTTTTGTTTTCATTTAAATTATTAAATTCTATGCATATTTATGATGCCGAACTCTGAAACTTTTAATGGATTACGTTCCCGAAATTGTCTCAAATCCCATGGAAATTCATAACCGAGATGAGCTGGCATTCGTCAGCAATGAGGCAGCGGCAATTGCAGCGCGAGTTACGCGCCTTCATGGAAAGTCTCGAAATTGAATTTTAATCTGAGCTCAAAAGCGCACCACTTGCAGCACTTGCGCCACTAAGTAGCCGCAAAATGCTTTTGTGGTAAGCGCTATAATTTGAAATACCAAAAACCGAAAGTTTCACGCTGCCACAGACTCTGCTAAGTAGGCAACCTACTGGCAACTAGACGGGCGGAGGGGCGCGGCTGGCACGTAGTGCTGCCTAAAGTTGCAGCGCATAAGCTAAGAGGGATGAGTAAGCGAGATAGAGATGGAGTTAAAGAGAGAGAGTGAAGAGTGGACAGCAAAGAAGATGAGCACTGCGGATGAGCCAATACTAATTGAAATAAAAGCCGTTATGAACAGTAAGTGAAGTCTCATGCATAATGCTAAGCGTAGCCACATCCATCACAATGGCCAAAACAAGATATGCCTGGCGGCCGTTCTTGGCCCGGTTAACATGCTGTGTGCTGGGCCAGAGGCGCTTCAAATCTTTTGGGAATATTTTGCGTATCTGCAGTCGAGCGCGCTGACAAGTCCCAAGTAACATACATATTTTATACAGATATATGAATGTGTGTGTGTTGGTGTGTGTGTCGGTGCTTATGTATAACCCATTGGGCCATAGCCTCGGCTCAATGCATTGCAGTTGTTGTTGGTTTTATTGCTGTTGTTGCTTCACCTTCACTCATAAATTGTTCAGCGTGAAATAAATCAAACTCAGACTCTCCCTAGAACTGGAGCCTCTGCCTGAGACGCTGTCAGTAACAAATCATGCTCAGGGCTGCGGCCCACAACGAGCTCTATGGCCTGTAGTCGGAGCCGTTGCCGTTGCCGTTGCCGTTGCCGTTGCCGTAGCTGATGCTGGAGCATAGCCGTATACTTGTTTACGGCCTTAATACGCACCGACTCAAACAAGAAAACAAAAATTGCGTATACGCTGTGTGTGCCAGTAGCAGACGCAGACGCAGCAGCGCTCCAACGGAAGTGCGGAAGTTCCGACTGTGCGAACACGATGACAGCAACAACAAGCGTTAAAGAACTACGGGGCGTTGTCGCTGCGCCGGAAAATATTTAATTACTAATGAGTTTTTCGTGCTGCAGCAAAATCAACATTTTCAAATACGTGGCAGGAAAAACAAGCGCGCACAAAAAATATAAGCGAAATCCTTGTAACATTTTTAATTTGCTAATTAGCAGGCGTTAGCCTTGCATCCAATTTGATTGATAGTCCAACGTGCGGATACTTCAACACACACACACAAACACACACACAGATACATATATATGTCAGCTGATCACACAATTCATTATTTAGTTAGTGCTGTTAGTCAATTGATTATCAGGTATTATGCTTGACAAATTCCCATCCAGCTCTGCCTCGGCTCTGCCTCCAAGGCAACCAATTGGTTTCAATCTGATGAATATTTGCTGCCTCACTGCGTAACGGCGGCGTGTTGGGGCAGAGGGGGCAGTGGGGGCAGTGGGGGCAGAGGGGCAGGCCGAGAGCTAGAGGGTATCTAGCTATAATAAATTGTATGTACATGCATGTGTCATGAAATATAGTACACGCACACTCACACAAGCGCACACAGACACACACGCACACACACACACGCATACACATATACACATCCGAATACGTACACACGTGAATAAATTATGATTGGTATTCACGCAAGTTTGGCAAAAACAATGACAACTCTTAACGTTTAAAAAGGCCTTAGTCATCGTAGTCGTTAACTTATCCGAGAAAGAGATAACAACAACAACAACAACAGCTACAACAACAACAACAACGACGAGCGACACACTGGAAGCTGAAAAAGTTTATCTTTCGATATTATTGGGGCATAACTTTGCGGGCCATAAATCAAATTAGATGCCCGCTGACACTTAGCAACACATAAGAAATGCAAACGATTTTATTAAATATATAATGCAAACCGCAAAGTCTTCAAAAAAAAAAAAAAGAAAAAAAAAACAACCAGCAGCAACAAAAAAAAAAACAACAACGAAGGTCAGATTGAATCAGTAAAAAAAAAAAAATAGAATTTTACTTGTTTTCTGCTGGAGTCCATAGATTATAGAGCTTATGCTTAGACTGACATTTAAATACTCTTTAACATAAATTATTTATGTAAAAGATAAAATCAATAAACAAATAATAAAATCACAAAATAATTTTTATTTTACTTTAGCTTATTATTTAAATATTCTCTAAAATATATTAAAATAGACTTGAGATAAAAAATACAAAGAAAAAAATTATAAATTATT